TTTTTAATTGAAAAAAATAATAAAGCATATGTATATTCTCAATCATTTTATTTTCACATGCGTCTCTCAGTCGACCTTATCAGTAAATATCCAACTCGAGTTCATCAACAAAAAATGTACCTTAATTAATGGAGACTTGAACAATTATCACCAGTGTCAGCTACGTATTGACAAATTTAATGTTAAAATGTTATCATCAAGTCAGATTTAGTTTTTAATCATCCAGAAAACTTCGAAATGGAAAATCCAAACTGAGATCCAAGCTTCAAAAATGGTGGATTTCGAAGCTTTCCACCAAAGAAATTTTGATTTGACGTGTAAATGCCACACTAGATCCAATTTTCAGCTTCCAATATCATCTTCGGTGGTTCTAACATTAGAGTCTTGAAATGCCTATCAACTCAGTTTTTCTGTTGAGTTGCTATTGTGTCATTTTCTAAGGTACGCTAATTTAGCTATGTATAAGTTTGATAGTGGTTATACTCTTTATCTTTATATATGTTTGCACATATATGGTAAATGATTCATATAGAGGCAGTGGTATGTATAGAAACTTTAACTACTTAATGTTGAGAGTTGACCATATTGTATTTTAACATACACATGTACTTATTATTCTGTGGAGATCGTGACTCTTTCCTATAAAAGAGTGAGATTATCTTTTGTTGCTCAGTCAACTACATATATCGAGAGATTTCATGATTTCATGTATGTATAAGTTATAATGTTCACATTATGAGAATTTTGATGTATTTCAATTGTAATATATTTGTGTTATGTGTATAAAAATAGGTTTCTTGCAGGTCTCCTGGATATGCTCCAGTTTCACCGTCTTATAGTCAAGTGGCCAGTTCTGCCAATGTGCTCTCAAATGGGGAACGAGCATTGAATAAATAATTATTGCATGATCAATTAGCATATGTACCCTTTGCTCAATATCCACAATTTGTTTCCTCCTTTTTCAATATCCAGGTGCTAACGGCCTTGGTATTCCAAAGGCTCAACTTGAGGCCCATTAGATATCTTTACAGCAACAAATTGAGGTATTAAAGTTTCTAACTTAATTGATATCTTTATTTATTATGCATCTATTATAAATTATAGTCAAAACCTATGCAATAATTGTAGTTGAAATTCTTTCATTTTCCTGAGAAAATTTAGTTCGACGTTTGGAGTTGGGGATTGTAATGTGTTTGTTGGTTGACTGGTTGTTAGTATAGAGGTATAGAAGTGGTGTTAATTCTAGAAATCGATCAGTGTTGCTTCCTATATAAAAATTGCATCAATACATGTCTCTATCGGTAGTTGTAGGTACATATATAGCTACTGGTACACCTGAAAGAGTACAAAATTGTGAATTGAAAGATGATTTTTAGTAGTCAAAATAGGACTACGTTTTTCAGAAACAAAAGGTGGATTTATCTATTATCAATTCAGGTAAGAGGAGGGCAAAAGGGATAGGAACGACTTTTTTTTAATGAGAATTGCAATATGATCCTAGGAATAACTTATCTAATAAGATTAGCATATGATTCCTTTTCAAATACTCATATTTCAAGTGTTTCAATTACTTTAAAAATTATACTAAATGTTGATGCACTTATTTATTTTATTTTTATCCAATCTTGTGAACTTTTTTTTGTCAAAGATAAGTGTAAGATAGTTTTTCACGTTATGTCCGATTATGATATTCTCTATTGTTTTGACTGCTTTCTTGTGTGTAAGACCCCTAATGTTCTTTAAACATACTTTTGGTACTCTGATTAGGGTAAAAAGAAAGCCTAATTCGTTTACTTAACTAAGATATTTAAGAAGAATTGACGATTGGATTGTTTGAAAGAAAAATCTGAAAATACCATCTTCGTGCAAGAACTCAGAGGCAAGGAAGTACATATTAAATGAACTCAATGGCACTGCGAGTAAACACCAAGCACGTATGTTATCAGTTTCGATTTCTTCCATCCTATGCTTCTGTCATTTTTTATTTTTTTTGATATGAAAAATACTTGCATATCTTTAGGTCGTGAAATGTGACATACAACTCATATGGAGTCGAATTCTTTTGATACTGCAATTGATTTAGCTGTGCCTACGCTCAAAGGTTTCCACTATTTGACCATTATAAGGTGAATAATTTTATTTTCCCATGATGAAATTCAATCCACTCGTGTGAATATGATTTTTATATTTTCCGTCTCATTACTTATTTAATAGTAGCTATTATGTTGGAATATTTGAAGTCAAAGAGGCACTAAATAGATTAGAAGAAAATATTTTAAAAACTAACTCTCTATATTTCAGAGCTTTAAGATTTATAAAGATAACTTTTGGATATTTTGAAAATTAATGATAAGAGTAGTAGTTGAGGCAAGGAAATGGATGGGGAGGTAAGTCAGAAAAAAAGGATAAGGAAAAAGGACCTTAGAGGATAAGGAAAAGGGACCTTAACTTTGAAAACTCAAATGGAAAGCACAAACTAACTAATGTCAAGGGTCGGAGATAGAGAGTGATGAAGGGTGAAGAGGAACTCGGTAGCTTGCTCCAAACAAGTTTCAGAGATGTAGAAGCCAAAGGCAACTCTCAAGCCATTTGGGTGAACACAGATAGTTTGTTATTATCTCCTGATCACTTAACTACTCCTTGAAATACTTCTTCTAATGATACTCTTAATTTATAGCAGGAGCAACCTCAGCCCCTTTAACTACTCTTCGAGACTATTTCACAAAATTTACGTGTGGGTTTATCTACTAAGAAAAGGATTTTGATGAACTTGTAAATTGGCTGATATTTTATACTGTACATGAAATATAAACTTTTCTCACTATTTCATTAGAGTAATGCTAATGTATATCAATATTTACTATTAATCAATATCTCCAATGAACTTATACTGACATTTTCCATTACCCTTTTCTTTAACATTTTGCCACAGACACCATGTAGTTTAACTTTCCAATTAAGAAATGAAAGTATTCCATAGAGGTGGACTTCTGGTCATGCTCATGTATTATGTTAATGCCATTTGACCTAGAAGATGAAATAGATGAGTGTTTTCCTTTATCTCGATTAATGTTTTAGATTTCGGGACAACACCATTAATAAACCTAAAAATATATCACCCTTGATTCTCTCTTGATTTAGTAAAAGATGGTTCATCTGCTAAGTCTATTTTGGTAAAGAACAATAAACATTGCCCAAAAATTTATCTTGTTTGTAGCTCACTCAATTGTTGAATCAAGAATTTGGATTATATTTTTATCATATTTATGTGTGTTTTTTAGGTTCATTAAAGAAAACAAGTTCAAGCTCTCTTTCTCCTATATAAAATAACTGCAATGAATCATATTGTTATAATATGTTTTGTCGTGCAATCTATGCTAAACTCCTTCCAGTTTCTATGAATTCTTCCAAAGTAAGTAGAGTTATTGTCATTCTCTTATCTTTATTATATATAGTAACATACAACAAGAGGCCCTTTCTGGTTTTCACGTATCACTGTTGATCATCTTTGTTTACGCCCTTAAAAGCAAGGTATCAAGGTTAAAATGAATTTCAAAATTATAAGTCAGCAGTTCCCTACTCTATGTATGGTGGGATGGTGCACTGGAAAAGGAAATGTATACGAGGCAGAAACTTTTGTCATAAGACTCATAACCGATGATGTTAGACTTTGTAATTTTAAAATCAGATGCACATCTGAATAAACTATGATCCTGATGTTATGGGGATGACAAATAATGCCATTGTAGCTGATTGTTGAGTTTTTACTTTTGAGAATGCTTGGTGAGACATTTCAAGCAGAAGCCATGTATCTGAAAGAAATTGGTGTTGAAGCTAGGAGGTTGAGTGTTGTAAAGTGTATAAGTTTCATGTTAAAAGGAATTCTGAGAAGTCATTTTCTGTTGTAATTAAGATTTTAACCTAATAATATTGGTAGCTTATATTTGTACTACACGTTATTGTGCTCTTATTAGCAAATTCCTTCTGGAATCTTTTCAGTAGAATCATTTGTGTAGTATTTATTTATCAAAAAAGACCATCATGTTGCATGGTAGCAGTAGTATTTATCAAAAAAGACCATCATGTTGCAAGGTAGCAGTAGGTGATTCTTTATGATTGCCTCTTGCCTTACTCTTTTAACAGGCTTTGAGGAACAATTTCTTTGTCAACTTCTTTGAAGTGTAAATAACGTAATGTCTGCAGTCCATTGATCGTTTTGACATAAAAGGATGATGAGACTGATAGTGTGCAGTTGTTGCTAGCTTTTACTGAGTAGTCAAAAGTAGAGAAGTCTCCACAAAATGTAACCGATCAGGAGATTCTTGAAATGTAATGTCAAGGTGGGACACCATTCATGTCTTTGTGATTGATTTATGAAGATGTTGAATCATACTACATCCTGTAGAAAATGGTTAAAATGTATTCCTTTTATCATTGTTATTCTTCTTTTGCAATTGAACAAAAGGTTAGGTCTCTAGATTTAATAGTTCAGGTAGATGTACCATTAAAAATTGTTCCTCTATAACATGTATCGAAAGATCAACAACAAATGATATGGTAATGACTATACTGAAGGCTGCATACAAGTTATTCTTCACATTAGATCAACTGTCAAATTATAAAAATGTAATCTCACAAAGCTTTATAAAGAGATAAGAATGAGGTATATATTATCTTATTATGAGAAAAAAAAAGGTGTATACTATTGTTCTTATTTTTTGAACGAAAAAGATAACAGATTGAAGAATGAGAGGTTAGGGACTTGTTATTGTGATTGTTATGATACAGTTGAGATTAGGGTGTGTTTGGTATGAAGGAGAATGTTTTCCTGGAAAATAAGTTGATTTTTGACTTATTTTCTCATGTTTGATTGGTGAGTAGAAAATATTTTCCGAAAAAGATTTTTAGTGTTTGATTTATGAATGAAAAATATCTTTTATTTTTATTAGAGTAGAAAATAATTTTTGAAATTGAAAATATATTTTAAAAACAAATTTGAATTTTTTTTGGGGGTGGGTGTGGGGTGGGGGGGTCGAGGGTAGGG